GGGGCCTGGACTGTTTGCTCTGCCATTTCATATCATGCTAACAAGCTAATCCGGCGTGCAGTTAGCTCCTGATATATAACTGCTCATTAGTATTATAATAAAGTACATGAAACAACCATAAAACGTTATATACTGCACAAGTGTTGTTTTCTTGCCAATTATCTGCAGGCGGATTTATCACCGCAGTTGTTTCGAATTCCCCTTGGTGAGGTTTGGGCGGAATAAAGAAAGGTGTTGGTGGCAGCGGCAGCAGAGGGGGGCCTTTTCGAGGGGCAGACCATGTGTTTTCTTAAGTAGCACTTACTGATGCGCCATTTCACGAGAGTGAAGCAACGGGATCCATCCTTCCCCATCTCCACACACAGCTCTGGAGGAAGGTGGGAGGGCGAGAGCTGAGGAGGGCTGCGGGCCTGCAGTTCCGGGCCCTGGAGGCACCAGGCCTCAGCCTATGGGGCAGCCCACAGTGCCCCGGTATAGAGGCCTGTGTCCACCCAAGGCTGTGTGGTAGGGTCCTGTAAGTCTGCACCACTTGCTTCAACCTTCCAAAGCCTGCTCAAGGAGCCTCACTCAAGGCTCGCACCTCGCCATGGCCTCGTCACAAAGGAGTTTCCTGAGGGACGCTCGTGAAGGCACCTGGCCTGGGGAAGAGCTTCTACACATCCTGGCTTCTGCCTCTGTGCTGGTACTCACCACTGCCTTTAGAAACACCAGCAGTGAGTGCCAGGCTCTCGAGGAGCAGGGGAGGGAGTTGTGACTTTCTGCGGCCTCCTTGATCTTAGCCACCTCCTAAGGCACCCTTGTCCACCGCTGGCAACCACAGCCCAGGCTCTGGGATGGGAAACAGCAGGCCCCTCTGTTTCCTGTGCTAGAGTCTAAGAGCACCTCGTGGTGCCATGCTTCTTTGCCCTTTCTTCCTCCTCCCTGGCTGAGGAGAATTTTCAGTGCCTGCAGTGTGATCTCCCAGGAAGGCCTCTTCTGTGCTGCCTGCACCATGGCAGATCACCATCTCCCTGCAGCCCTGCTGTCACGAATGAGCTAAAGGGTGAAAGACACCAATTCTCAAAAGGGAGCCCACTGGGCCCTTTGCAACTTCCCACAGGGCGGTGAGTGAGGGTCAACTTACAATTACCTAGCAGCTGTAGCAGGAGGTGGCCGCAAATTGCCACCGTGCTCTGAGTTAACTTGAGAGGCCGGGGATGTATGTCTAACTACCACACTCACCATATGACCAAGAGTGGATCTACTAATTCATAAATTAATAGTGAACAAGGCAAGGACTATTAGTAACAAGCACTACCTACAAATTTTCTAGAGTCTGGGAGGCAGAGGCAGGAAGATCTCAGATTTGAGCCCAGCACAGTCAAATTGGCAAGACTTGGTCTCAAAATTAAAAAAAAAAATTAAAAAGTGCTGGGGATATTGCTCAGTGTGGTTCAACCACCAGTAATGGAACAAAAATTCCAAGAGGAAATGGCCTTCTGAGGAAGGGTACACCAGAGCCTCTCCTCACACAGGAGTGGTGATGAAGCCACTGCTCTGTACCACCATCTCTTCCCTGGGGCCAGAAAGCACTGCTCATCTTGCAGGAGAGGTAGTAACTGTCCCTGGTCATGTACAAGCTGGACAACCTAATAGCTCACCTTTTCCCCCCTTGGAATAATATCTCCACTTGAAGAGCTAATGCTCCTTGTTGTTTAAGTTCCCTATGCCTTTTGTCCAGATCAAACTCCAAGTGGCCAGAGAAGTGACCAGGCTTTAATGTGCCACAGAGATTAGGCTGAGGATCACACTTCTCCCTGATATACAGTTCCAAGCTGTAGGATCGGGTTATCATGATGGCACTGTAATGATGATGATGGTGACAGAGGAATGACCGCCTCACTATGAAACTTCAGAGTCCCCAAATGTAAGGAGAGAACCATAGGCTGGCCATGATTCCTGTTTCTAGGTCAGACTAAGTACCAGTACTTTGTCAGAGTCCCACAGGGTTTGGGGTTTATTTATTTTTTTATTTATTTATTTTTTTGGTTTTTCTCCGGTACCGGGAACTGAACTCACGACCTTGCACTTGCCAGGCAGGTGCTTTTGCCGCTGAGCTAAATCCCCAGCCCCAGGGTTTGGGGTTTAGATGCAATCACTGCTTGGGTTGATGAGACAAGAGTCAGGTGCACTCTCCCGCAGACCTTCAGTGGACCTTCTGTGTCGGGCACTACTCTCGTCAGGCTCGTCTCCTATGCCCTGCCCCTCAGTCTATGCCCTTGCAATGGCGCTTTGGGTCTGGTTCCTCTTAATGAGGAATACTTCTATCTCTCTGCTTCTGCTCATTCTGGTCCCTCTGGCTGGGATGCCCATCAACTTCCTCTACTCTTACCTCCTCCTAACCTGGGTCAGACATTATATCGTGTAGGGGCCTTTTCTGATAATCACCCCAAACATGACACGGGACCACTTATGTGCCCAAAGTGTCTTATACTCACCCCTCTCTCAGTATCAGTCAGTACCTTTTGAACCTCTTAAGGGCAGGTATCTTATTGTTTGTAGTTTCAGCTGCTTACAGAGAGCCTGGCACAGAGTAAGCACTGAATACATGCTTTTTCTTATTGCAGTTTGGGAGAACCAACGTGGAGAGGCTCGGGACTCACACCAGCATGCCAGTGGTCTAGAGCCTTCAGTGGACTTTGGGCATTGCTATAATTGGTGCCATAAGTGCCCTTCTAATGCCCACCTGCTAAAGGTTTAATCCTCAGCTTGGTGTTTTGAGAAGTAGTGAAAAATTGAAGAGGTGAGACCTATTGATAGCTCTTTCAGTCACTGGGGGTGTCTGATGGAAGGGCATCCTGGGACCCAAGCTCCTTCTTCTTCTTCTCTTTTACTCCCTGGTCACGAGATGAGCAGCTGTGCTCTACCACGCACTCCTTGCCATGATGTGCTGCCTCGCCACAGGCTCCAAAGAAACCACTGCTTCCAAAACTGAGCCAAAACACACAACCACTGCATTGTTACAGAACAGAAAGTTAACACAGGCCCCACCAAGACCAGTGGAGAGGGGGCAGCCCCAGTGATTGTGATATATAAAGCCCTTTGTTTCATTGGCATAGTTTTTTCTTCCTTTTTGTCTAGTCCTTGAAGAAGCAAGTGGAAGCTGACCAGGTCCCAGGACTGTCCCTTGTGACTGAGGCCTACAGAGCCAGCAGCTGCACTCCCATGCCACTGGGGCCTGGAGCTGCTTTTGCTGAAGTATTGCTGTCCAAGGTCTTCAAGGACCAGTCATGGAGGGCCTCGGAGGTCCCCCTGTTTTCGGCTGTCACCATTTGTAGCAGCTGTTAGTAGACAGCAAGAAGACTGCTGATGCCTGTTAAAGGATGGTTGTAGGGATTAAGTGGGATCACGAATGCAGTGCTCCTAACACAGCCTCAGTCACACAAGATCAAGTCATATCAAGAAAAAAAATTCACAGTAATTAAAAAAAAAAAGATCAAGTCATATCATCCTATTCCTCCTTCCTCCTCAAAAGGTATATTGTTATAATTAAAAAGAGAAGAAGAAAAAGCATGAGTTTTGAAATCAGAAAACAATTCTGCTTCTTATAGCTATTGATTCAACTTTGGGAAAATTGCTTACCTTTCTCAGCTTCGGCTTCCCTACCTATAAAATAGAAGTGATAGTGCCCACCCACAGTTTTAACAAGGAAAAAACATATCAATATCATAGCATGATAAAATAAATCAATATATGCACATATGTGGCACCTACCTCTGTCTGGTACATAGTAGGAGAGCAGTAAGTGTTAGTGGAAGACAACAACAATAAATGCAGAAGTCTGAAATTAGATATGAAAACTCAACAATGTAAGAACAAGATGAAAGAGACATGACTCAGCCAGGCAGGGGTTTTAGTCAGTAAGGTCCTTATGAGTCAGCAACTCGTGCGACATTCAGTAGCATTTGGAAGGCAAGAAGAGGCTCATCCTGCTCTGTACTGGCTTGGCACTTCTGGCTGGTGGGCACCATTCTTTGAGAATGCAAAACGATATTATATGTGAAGGTCTATTGTAAGCCATTTAGTTTTTGCCTATGTAAGACATTATTATGAACCATCAGTACCTAATAATAGCTGAGATAGTGATCAACTGTTCTAACTTCGAAGGGTAGGAAAGAGTACCGCCAGGGAGGGGGACTCAGCACCAGACTTGTAAAGACCAGACTTACCAAGGGCTGATAAAAGCAGAGAGTGCCAACTTCTTTATGTCCCCCATGAGGAAAGCCAAGAACAGTTGGGGAAGTTAAGCTAATTTAGGCCTATTATAAGATTCTGGTTCATTTTTTTTTTTTTTTCTGGTACCAGGAATTGAACTCATGACCTCACGCTTGCTAGGCGGGCACTGTGCCGCTGAGCTAAATCCCCAGCCCTGATTCTGGTTCTTTTTTTTTTTTTTTTTTTGGTTTTTCTCTGGTACCGGGAACCGAACTCATGACCTTGCGCTTGCCAGGCAGGCGCTTTGCTGCTGAGCTAAATCCCCAGCCCCGATTCTGGTTCATTTTAAGAAAGTATTTAACAATGAGAGGATGCCCGAGGAAGGACTGCTTTGAAGAGAGATGGGCTTACTCCATAAGAAGTATCCAAACAGACTAGATAATTGGTCCTAGTAGAGAGAATTCAAACACGGAGAATAGGGTCAGATAATCTTTTGGGGGGATTGAGTGCATGCTTCACGCATGCTAGGCAAACATTCTACCATTGAGCTACATCTCCAGTCCCTGGATAATCTTTGAGGGCTCTTCTGTTGGGAAATGCTATGGCTATCGGGGCTCTCTCCCTCCAATTCTGTCATACTGGAAGGCAAGAGTCAGAAATCCTTAGTGTAATCACTCACTGAACAGTCATTAAACATTAGCTGCTAGGTGCTCAGAAAATAAGCAAAAGAGAAGAAAAGACTTTGGCCTCTGAGGACTTACAGTCTCACGGGGTTAACTGCTTTGACAGAGGTCCCGCAAGTGCTTTGGGCCACGTCAGCAAGAACAACTAAATGCTTGCAACAAGGGGATTCTCACCAGGGAGGTGACACTGAGTTGGGTTTTGAGGAAATCCTCTTACTACATGGAAAAGGGAAATAAAAGGACAACAGGTGGAAGGACTAGGTGTGCACAGCCTTGGAATCATGCAGAAGCAGGATGTGCCCGCGAAGACGAGGTATGTGGGAAATGAGCCTGAGGAAATAGTTTGGGGCTGGACTGTGAAGTGTTTAGTGCAGCTTACTGAGGACCCTGAATTTGGCTTGAAGATTACATGAAGCATGGGAGAAATCTCAGGGGAGGGACCCAGTCACATCTGTGTTTTCAGAAGATCACAGGCAGGAGGTGTGAGGGAGGATTGGAATAGAATGAGATCAGCAGAGTAGAAGGACAGCATTACAGGATAAATGATGATTATATAATCAAATTATTTTTCCTAAATAACATTTTTACTGCTTATAAAACTAATAGAACTATAATCCCAGCACTTAGGAGGCTGAGGCAGGAGGATCACTGTGAGTTCAAGGCCAGTCTGGGCTACAAAGTGAGTTTAAGACCAGCCTGAACTCTGCAGTGAGGCCCTGTCTCAAAAAGACAAGACAAAAACAAAACAAAACAAAACAAAATCTAATAAATATCCCTTGTACATAAGTTAGAAAACCAAGAAAACTCTAAAGAAATGAAGTGACTATAATTCCACTATTAATATATCAGTGCAATTCCTTTTTATCTGTGCATAGTTTTTTTCTTAACATGATTTAAGGATTTCTGCTAAAATAGTCTTCAAAAACATGATTTATTCTTTAAAACATGATTGTGGTTGCACATAAGATCATGCTATAATTTATTTAATCTTTCCCCTCTTGTCAAACATTTAGGCTGTTTTCAGATTGTCCTCGCTGTAAATAATACTGAAATGATTATCCTTATGCATAAATCTTTGACCACATTTCCAATTATTTTTTTTTTAGAATAGATTCCAAGAAGGGAATTACTAAAATAAAGGACATGAATATTTTAAACCTTTTGCTACATTTTACAAAACTGCTTCTTAGGAAGGTTATATTAATATATGTTTTTACTAATAGTATGTAAAAATGCCTGCACAACTCTCCCCTGATTAACACTGAATTTAAAAAAACATTAAAGTTGCCAATTAGCATAGACAAAAATATTCTCATTTATTTTATTTGTACCACTTATATTAATTTAAAGATTTTCATATTTCTTTTATAAACTGCAGGCTCATGCCTTACTCTATTTTATATTGCCATTAGTACCTTTTATTGATTTGTAAAAACTCTTTATGTATTAAGGATATAAAATGTTCTACTATATTTACCGCACATCTTTGTTTCTCAGGCAGCACTTACCTTTTAGTTTGCTTATGGCAGCATTTTCGTTGTTGTTGTATAGTACTTTAACATTTTTAGTGACTTCTTCATTTGTGTTTATGCTAAGAAAGGGGCCCCTCTTTCATTCATTCATTTTTAAAAATTTCTTTCTTTTTCTTTCTTTCTCTCTCTCTCTTTCCTCTGTAGCAGTGACAAAGTTTATTGAAAAAGTAAAAGCAAAGAGTGAGAAACAGGTTCTGTGCAGCGAGCTTGGGCTGAATAAAAGGACACCCTGGACAGAGCAGGGCGGACTGCTGTGAGGAAAGTTAGGAGTACCAAAAAGCCATTTTCGAACCAGAAGCATCTCCATATCTAAAACAGAGCTGGCTATGGCTCTGTGATTTGTATTTAACTTTCTGAAAAAACTTACTGAACTAGTTTATCAGTAAGGAGAAAGAAGATAGAGGCAGTATTGGACTTGCAAGCTTAGACTAAAAGAATATTTAAAGGAAGCTGGGTGTGGTGGTGCACGGCTATAATCTCAACACTCGGGAGGCTGAGGCAGGAGGATCACTGCAAGTTCGAGGCCAGCCTGGGTTACAAAGTGTACTTGAGGCCAGCCTGAACTGCATAGTGAGACCCTGTTTCAAAAAAGAAAAAAACAAAACAAAACAAGAATAAAGGAGAAATCTGAGGCTGTTTGAAAGCAGAAGGAAAGGCACTGGTAAGAAGAGGGAAACTGGAAGCGCATCTGCAATTTATCTGGACGTGGGTATAAGGCAAGAGACCTCTACTCTTCCCATCTCTCATGATTTTACTTCATTTTTAGGTGATGAGGACAGATGAAGGGGAAGGAGAGAGGGGATGACCGTGGTCAAGCCAGGTTTGTGTTTCTGTTTGGTTGGGCGGTACTTGGGGATCATTAGAGCTGTAGGCTTGGTGAAATAATGATGTCAGTTTTGAATATGTGAAGTTCAAAGTGCTTTGCAAGGGTTCACAGGGAGATATGGAGCCGGAATACAGGCATGGAGCTTGGGAGGGAGGTTGGGGCGCAAGCCGGAGACACGCAGTCATCAGTGTTTAGAGGGCGGTGGAACCACAGGCAGGATGGACAGAGAAGTAAAGTTATCTGGGCAGCAGCAGCACTGCAGCTGGGAACAGGAACGAAAAGCGGTAGAGAGACCTGAAGAAAGGAATGGAAAAGCTAAGAAAACAGGATCTGAAATAGGGAAACGTGATCAAGCTATCGGTGAAGCAGTGCGATAGAACATGCTCTGCAATGGGCCGTGTGGGTAGGAGGTGACGAGTGAAGGCACTCCGAGTAAGGCTGCTCAGAACAAGCTTAGCAGTGAGGAGAGGGCGGAAGCTGGGGCAGGAATGGGCCTGCAGGTTAAGATTCACAGAAGGTTTCAAGGGGCAGATCTCAGGGTATATGAAGGCAGAGAAAGTAACACTGGTGGGAAGAGAGAGATTTAAAATACAAGAGATGGTTTCAAGAAGTGATGGGCACAGGGGGCAGGATGAGAACTGTCCAGGTGTAAGGCAGCGAACATGACCGCCAGGGCCAAGGATAGGTTGAGGAGGGAAGCCCTGAGCCTGTTGGCCTCAATTTCCTCTGAAATGCAGGAAATGAAGGTGTCCATCAGGAATGAGGTAAAGAGAGGCAGAGGAGATGTTTATTTATTTTTATTTATTTATTTTTTTTGGTTTTTCTCCAGTACCGGGAACCGAACTCACGACCTTGCACTTGCCAGGCAGGCGCTTTGCCGCTGAGCTAAATCCCCAGCCCCGAGATGTTTATTTTTTAAGAGGGCAAGGTTCAAAACAGGTGTTACAAGAAACAGGAAAGAGAAGAGCTGATGGGCCAGAGGAAAGGACAGGCCTGGCTAAAATTGACACTAGTCTGGAATGGTGATGTGAATTTCTCAGTCACCCATCACAGGCCAGAGCAGAGGAGAAAGCAAATATTTATATGGATTCGGGATCTGAGGTGGGCAAATAGGTGGGATGGAAAGGCAAAAGGGTAAGGCAACTGCACGGAGAAACTCTTTAAGTGGATTGATCAAAGGGTGAAGGTTGAGTAAGAAAGGAGGTGAAGCTGGAGGGGATGATGAGTCAGTTAGATTAGGAATGGCCCAGAGAGGTAAGGCTTAAGTGAGGTCAGGAACCAGATTCAGTGGGAGTAAGAAGGTAGGATGGGGTGAGGCTAGAAGGCTCTGACTAGGAAGTGAGAGTCCTAAGTTGAGGAACTTCTTGGAGAGGATTAGTTTCTGTCCAGGGTGTGGGGTTGTATCCCTACAGACTTCGCTGGAGGGGTGAAGGATGCTGGAACAGGGGAGTCCAGGATCTGCATGGTCCACATGGATGCTGAAGTTTCTGGGATGAAGGCAGGAATAGGGGGAAGCGGGGCGGGTCACTGAGCCAGGTGCTGAACAGAGGGGTGATGTCATCAGCAGATGACAGTGTCAGGAAGGTGGAGAGGCTCACACAGCTTCAAAAGAGTAGGGATGCTGCCTGCGAGTGTCATGGGAGGGTCTGTGCAGACAGAGAGTTGTCAGCAAAGTGCCTTCCTATGTCAGCAGTGGGGTGAACGGCGTGGGGTGCAGTCCGGCTGGTCCAGATGAGGTAGCGGTTTCAAGGCCCCATGAATTTTTTTGTTTGTGGGTTGGTTGTTTCAATCAACTATTCATTCAGAAAGGATTTGATGAGATGCGTCTCCTGTGCCCCGAGCCCTGGGCGAAGTGTGCTGGTTGCCACCTTCCAGAGGAGTGCGCAGCGGCCCGCAGCCTGTCCCCTCCCTGCCATGAGCCGCCCCACTCCCCTCTCAGCAAGCGCCCACACCAAAGTCCTGCACCAACACCAGGCAGGCCTGACACGCCGATGACCAGTAGGGGATCTTCTTGTTACAGCTTTTTCCCCAGAGATAAATAGGCCACAGTAAAAAAGATTGCTACATCCTTTCAATAAAGATTTTTTTTCTTTTCTAGACAGCTTGAGAAATGTTTTAAAAGCTTCTCACATTTCCAGTGAAACCCACAGAGAAGAATTTTGCTTGTTATCAGCCCTGGAAGCCTCTGATAGACGGGTGACATTTTTTTTTTCTTTTTCTTTCTCTTTTTCTTTTTTCCTTTTTTTCGCCAGCTGAAGAGAGAGTCACAGTGTGTTTTATAACTGGCTCTCTGCATTTCAAAAGCTCAACGAGGGCTCTCTGCTAACCCCGATAAGCCTTGGGCTCTTAGCGTCTTAAATACCTCTGACAAGCTATACATTACAGCGCTAATAATTTGCCAAATTTGCGCCCATAATATGATATCTGTAAAACGTCAAGGGCAGTAATGCGATTAGCGGTCTCAAATGAAATATCGAACATTCAGCGTTTAGGTCCTGAATAGGGGGAGAAAGGAAAGGAAATCAATTTCAAAAGCAGGAGGGAAAAAGGCGATAAGCGTGTAATAAAAATAGAGAGAGACAGAGGAGAGATGCTGAGGAAGAGACGGCGAGCAAGACAGGGGAAGAGATACACCCGACCCGCATTCATTTTTTTAGGCAGGTAAGAGATGTAAAAAAAACTTTACAAATTAGTTCGAATACAAAGCTGGGGGTAACATTTGGTCGCCACAGCAACCAGGGTGGGGGGGGCTGGGAGCGGAGGAAGGGGCTGGCCCAGCTTGGGACGCCTTTCTCTCTGCCCCCACAGCCGTGTCCATAAAACACAGGAAGCTGAATTACAAGGGGCCGAGGGTGGGCTCCCCCCCACCCCAGTTGGGAGAGTCGTAATGGACTAATTATCTGGCCAGCAGAGGCGGCGGCGGCAGTCCGAAGCAGTGAGGGCCCGGCTGTCACATACCAGGCTCTAGACTAAATAACAACACCTCACACCTGCAGCTTTACGAGCCCTGGCCGGGAGCAGCGAGCAAGCGCCCCCGCCCGCCCGCAGGCTTCTCCCCTGCACTTGGCCGTCGGGCCGCTGCCGGGCACAGGTGAGGGGCGCCCAGCCGCCCCTCCCAAGCCACAGCCCGCTGCTGAGTGCCCGCGACCTGCAGGTGTGTCTACACATGTGCCCCCAAGTAATTCTCCAGAGCTGTCGCAAGGCCAGGGGCTCTGCCATGAGAGCACCCCGGCCAGATGCCCTCGCCACAGGCTGGTCTGCACCTGCAGAGCGCGGCCCCGACCGGCCGGGGACTGTCTAGGCTGGGACTGTGTGGGTTGTGCGGGCAGAGATCACCAAGGGGGCCCTCTCGGGCCTTGAGGGATGCAGCGAGGCCAGGAGCCCCCCAGAACCCCTCTGCGCATGGCTTTGCTTTCTCCTTTGACACCATTCCCTAATACCATGCTTCCCTAACACCACACTTCGCAGGGTGAAGTAGTTCTTTTGAAACGCGGTGGGCCTGCCCTTTCTGCACTGCCTGTTCTTGGAAGTGACCCCTTAACCCTGAACCTCCTTCACTTGCAGACAGATGAGACAGAGCTGTGCCAGAAGAAGAAAGAAAACGATGATGGACACAGAAGCCTGGGCCTTAGCCAGGGGATGGCAGCCAGGAAGAGTGGCCCCTCTTTCCCCACTCAACCCAGTGCCCTCCAGGCCCAGCCCTCTAGCCCCGTGGCCTCCCTACAGCTGGAAGTCCCCCTCCCCAGGCTGCTCACCTAGGCAAGGGAGGGCAAAAGGTGGTGCATGGTCTCTGGTGGGGAGAAAGCAAGCAGGCTGCCTGGGGCCTGTCCCCGACCCTTCCCCAGGGCAGCCTGGAATGGCCATTACAGGGCCACTTCTTGCGGCACCACGAGCCATTAAAGCAGGAGAGCTCAGGGAGCCATCATCCCAGCACAGATGACTTCCCCAGATGTGGCAGCGGGCAGGATGTGGAAGCCCCCAGCCCCAACTCGACAGACAAAACATTCCCGCACTAACCATCCTCAGAAACCCCAGAGCCCAGAGCCCCTCTTACAGATGCTTTCTAGACCATTTAGCAGGAGGCAGTGTTTATTTTTGAACATATGTTCTTCCCCATCGCTCCCTTTCCTTCTCCCTTCCTGGTCCTTCCATACCCAAAGCTACCCACCGGATGGGCTGCTGTGGTCATTACTGCCGAGTTCCAAGGCCAGCATGGGTACATGCTTTGTTTTGGCTTTGTTGAGTGCCTAAGTGTGTGCATGCAGTCACGGCTGCACACGCATGCATACACACTCCTACTTGCCCAAGCCTCCATTTGTGGATGGCCGGCTTTCAGAGGTTGTCTAAGTTTGTGAGCAAATCCTAAACCAAGCCATGTGTTTCTTCTTTTCCAAAATGTGTACCTGAATCAGAGATGGTTCCCAGGCATTACATACCTATTTGGAGGGTGAGCTCAGGCATAGAAGGTCCTTTCCCAGGAGGGAAATTCTTGGCTTAGACCTGGGACCAAGTTCTGTTTGCTTCTCCCTGTCTATGCATAGAGCCCAACACTGTGCTGTGTTCAGTTATTGCCAACCCTCCTCCACTAGAGTCTTTCTTTTCTTCAGTAAAAGAGAAGCCTTCCTTAATTCAAATAGCCTAGCGTTCTAATGGATGTGGAACTTACACTTACTGGGTGTCTATTGTGTGCCAGGCACCATATTAGGTATTTTGTATATTGTTTTGTTTAGCTTTCAGAACTCTGGGTATTATTGTTTCTATTTTATAGCTAGGAACAGAGGCTTTGAGAAGTGAAGTGATTTGGCCAATTCAGCTAGCAAGTGCTAGGGTTGGAATTCAAACTCATGTCTATCTGACTCAGAAATCCCATGATTTTCCCATTATGTGATGAAGTTTCCCATCTGGAAATGTTTGGAAATCGTTGTCACAGTCCTTCCTAAAGAGTGGCCCTCAGAAAGGAATACAACACCCTAGAACTGATCTGGCCAGGGCAGAGTAGAGGCAAGATTTTCTATAGTGAATCCTAAGGTTACAGCCATTTTACTTTGTTGTTTCATGCTCAGATTTTCTCAGATACCACATCTCACCCTTACTATGTTCCCAGATAGATCAGTCCGTGATGCTTGGTCTTTCTCCCAGAATGCCCACCCTCTCATTTATCTACCTGCTCGTTCATTCATTCACTCTTTCATCCACTCAGTAGATGGGAATTTCTCAGTGTTTCCTGTATATCCCAGGTACAATCTAGGCACGGGGGCAGAGATACCCTGATAAGCACAGACAGGTTTCTTCACACATGCCTGGCGTGGTGGGGACGATGAGCACTCCCTGAGTAATGGTAGAGCAATCCTGGTTGCTACCAGAGGAGATGTGACTGCAGGAAAGTCAGGGAGGGCCTACTAAGAGTAAGGATAGAGCTGAGATTTACCAAAAACCACACCTCTCACCCCAGCTCCTGTCCCTCAGCCCCTGACCCCGGACTTGGCCTAGCAAATGCCAGCAGTCTTTCAGTCAGTGTGTATGTCACTTTTCCTACCTGATGTCTGGACCAGGCTAGGTCTCCACTGCACTCTTTTTCCTCTAGAGAATTTCATTTCCATTTGGTTACTTGTTCAGAGTCTGTAATCCTGATAAATTATAAACTCCCTGAGGGCAAAGAATGTGTCTCCTTAGTGTTGAGACAGTACTCCGCATGGACTTGATATGCAAGAGATGATTGCTGAATGGATCACCTTGCTTTCCTATCATGTACTGGTGCAGCTGCAGTTTTAGACCCATGCACAGAAATTTACATTTATTAAATTTCATAGTATTAGACCATCCCAGTTTACGTTATTCTAATAGGTTCCAATCTATTATTCATTGAGTATCTATTGTTTGCCATGACTCCTACCTTGATGTCAAGGGTATCAGGAACCTTGGATTAGACCTTGAGGATGGTTTAGTCTAGTTTAGAAGACAGGTGAAAGAACCACAATTATAATGGGGTTGTTGTGTTCAGTGTGATATGTAGCCCAGAGAACAGAACTGTTAAGTCTGTCTGGGGGAAGAGGAAAAAGGAAGGCTTGACTTTAAAGTTGTACTTTAAGATTGATAAGAGGCAAGACTTAAATGTGTCAGTTCAAAGAAGCAGGCAGCCACGGGGTAGATGAGGTAAATCGCCAGGAGTTCAGTTGTTCCACAAAGATCAGAATTGAGTCTCCTGTAATAGTTTCTTATAGGCAGTCAGACAGACAGTCAGACAGTCAGACAAACAGATAGACAGACCGACTGACCAATCAACAGACACACACACACACATATTGCTGGGCCTCAGTATTTCTTACTATATTATTTTTTTCCAATCTGAGGAATGCTTTCTTGACAGAAAATATGGTGTCTTCTGGTCATATTTATGCTGACTCATTTTTCACAGAAGCCAAGAGTTATGTTTAATATATGGACCTAATCATGTCCCCACCACTAGCATATTCCCAATCAGAACCTTGCAGTGCTTACCAGGCGCCCTCCAGAAGTTGCTCTACTCTATTCTGGCAAATATAGCTCTTAACAATTTGGCCCAACGTTACGATTCCAACTCCACTTTCTCTTCACTTTCCCTCCTTACACCTTCTGTGAACCACAGTGACTTACTAACACCTGAGCTTGATTTTGGCACTGTCTATTCTCTGTGTGGAGAGACAGAGGGGAAGGATGTCAAGGAGGCTCCCAACCTGGGTCTCTTACCAGCCTGCATAGAGCACCCTGCTTCCGGCACTACCGTTCCCACTGCACGGCACTATTTATAGGTTTCTGAACACTTCTTTCGTTTCCTGCTGGGCTTTTGCACACTACTTCCTGTGCTTGGAACACCCTTTCTCTGGCTTTGACTCAGACTGGCACCTACATCCTCATTCTGCAGGATGCAATCGAGGTGTTACTTTCTCTAGGAAGTCTCACTGCCTCTACTTCGAAAGCCCCACAGCACCCTGTGCTGACTTTGATAACGGCACTAAGCATTCTGCATTTTAATATCTGCTTTCTTACCCATTTTCCTTTCTTGCCTTTGATTTGTTGTCGTATGTTCAGTGCGTAGCATAGTGCTTGACATGTACTAAGTTTTAAATAGCTATTTGTTGATTAAATTAATGATTAAATAAAAATAACTGAATGAACAAACTTCTCACTGTGTTAAAAACACAGCAGGCTAGTTGATGACTGTGTCTTTCTCTGCATGTCCTTCCCAAGCTAAATCTTCATTTCCCTTCACCCCTCCCTACTCTGTCAAGTCTGCTCTTGCAGCCCCTCTGCCCCTCAGTGCCTCTGCCACTGATTTGCAGGAGGAGCCCAAGAGTTTCTCCTGGCTCATTTGAGTTCTCCGTTATTATTTATTGAACACCTGCTTTGTGCCAGGCACTTGACCAACAGTGAGAACATGGCCTTCCATCTTCAAGGAGTTCACTTTTCTTTTTGAGACAGGGTTTCACTATGCAGTTCAGGTTGGCCTTGAACTCACTATGTAGCACAGGCTGGCCTTAAACTCATGGTAATCCTCCTGCCTCAGCCTCCCAAGTGCTGGGACTACAGGTGTGCACCACCATGCCCAGCAGGATTAAGTTTTTGAAGGCTCTCTGTCCTTTCTCTGGAACAAACTCCAGGCCTGCCACACAGCACCTCACAATGCATGATAGATTTCACCCATCTGAAGAGAGTACAGTGAAGAGGAAAGAACACGGTCTCTGATAGCAGGAAGGGGAGGGTTTAACTTGAAGTGCTTCTGTATTCTGAAGAGTAGAATTTCACTTAGTACTGCTTTTAACAAATATATGTGACCTACTAAAATAGAACACGCAAATGCATCCTGTGGGTTGGTGCCATGCGATGTTTTGATATTTCAGTAGGGAGCAAGAGCCATAGAGTTGTCTCTTGGTATTCTCAGGAGATGGCTCCAGACCCCTGCAGATACCAACATCTCATCCCTGCATATGGTCAAGTCCTTTATACAAAATAGCATAGTATTTGCACAGAACCTATATGTGTCCTCCCTTACACTTAAATCATTTCTAGGTTACTCATAGCACAATGTAAATAGTTACTGTACTGCATTGTTTAGGGAATAATAACAAGAAAAATGTTTGTGGGTGTTCAGAACAGATGCAATTGTTTAAGAAAATATTTTTGATGTGCATTTGGTTGAACCTGCAGATGTGGAGCCTGCAGATCATGAGGGTGTTGCCCTCACACAGCTTACACTTAGCGGAGGAGACAGACGTTAAACAGCTAAACGTACACTCAGATGTATACCACAGTTTCCTACAGGGACTGGGAAGTGTTCTTTGAAGAAATGGCACTTGAGCTAGGACCCAAAGGTTGAGAAGGAACCAACCATGCAAGGAAGTGGGGGTTGGCGGTGGACTGAGTAAGACGCAAAGACCCCCAAGGTGAAGCGAGGGTCAGGTTAAATAGGAGCAGGTATTTGCCAAATTAAGGGTTATGGGCTTGACTCCAGAGGTCACGCATCTTAACAAGACTCTTAGGCTGCAGGTGGAGAGGCTGGAATGGGAGGTGGCAAGAACAGAAAAAGGAAATCAGAAGACTCTTCCAGCAGTGACGGATGGTAGATGATGGTGGCCTCATGGAGGGTGGGGCAGAGAAGCGGAGAAATGAATGCATTTGAGATCTGCTGTGGTGCACTGACTGTGGGGCTGAGGAAGAGGGAAAGGTCGGGCAGTGATGGCAGCTTTTGGGCTAGAGCAGGTTGGGGAATTGCTACGGTGAGTGGAAAAGGAGCAGGGTGGTGGGAAGGTGCTTAGCAATGTTTTGAACTGGTTAACTCAGAGTGTCTGTGGGAGATCCAAGCTGGTGGTAAATAGGTAATGGTCGCTTCAAAGAGAGGTCTGAGATAGAATCAGAGTGGGAATGGGAGACAAGCAATGAGGAAAATTTAAAGTTAGGGTAAAGAAATTCATTTACGTCTCTGAACCATGTTTTCTTAATTTATGAATTGGAAATAATGGCATTAAATGAGATTGTAGATCTACTCGGTACATAACAGACATTCAATAAATATTGCTTTCTTTTCTCTCTCTTCTTCCTTCTCTATATTTTATTCTCATACTCTTTTTTTAGTGTCTCCTCAAGCGCTTTTCTTTTTCTCACTTTTTTTCCTTGTGGGGAAAAGTTTAGTAGGGATTAAACCCAGGGCCTTCACACTAAGCAATTTCCTCAGTCCTTTATTTTTTACTTTGAGACTGGGTCTCCTAAGTTGTTGTTGCCCCGGCTGGGTTTGAACTTGTGATACTCCTGTCTCAGCCTTCCAGAGGGCTGGGATTACAGGTGTGTGCACCACCATGCTTGGCCTTCATGATCCTGGTACGTTGCCCACAACTGTCACAGAAATGAGGAAGGCAACTTTCTTAGGCGTTGCTAAACATATTAAGGAACGAAGGCCAGGATTAGTTGACTTAAATCCCATGAATTCAAC